ACTTTCATAAATTATAAAAAAAAATTACATCTATTATGTCTAATCTTTTACAAAAATAAAATATATCAATCAAAATCAATCAAAAAATTCATAAACTTTGATTCTTACCATTTATAATTTTTACAAATTATTTTCTTTCTTATTTTAAGATTTCTATTAACATCTTTATGAAGCATCAACCAAAACCTTGACAAATATTTCTTTACTTTCTTCTTAAGTATCTAAAATCCTTGCTTCTATCATTTTTCAAACTTTTTAATTTATAATTCTAAAATCTATCATATAACTTAATTATTAATTTTAAATTATAACACATTATTATGTAAATATTTCTAAAATTATTTTGTGACAAATCATTAAAAACTATTACAATAAGCATTTAGCTTTAATGTGAATATTTTGTATAAAAACACCTTTATAAAATATATTCCAATTAATGATATTTATTATAGAGGTTGAATCTCATGTAGCTATTTTTGGTTATTAGAAAAATAATCATGTATTAAATTATTCCAAATAGTATATCAAGATATTATTTATTTACTTATAATTGATGATATTTGATATTAGAACTTAGGAGGACATAATCACACTTCATTTAATATAATTACAAATTTTTATTTCTCGCAAAAAACCTCAATCTACATTGGTATGAAATGTTGGAGATCAATCTCTAAATTGGAACGATTTACTATGAAGGAATAAATCATGATCATTAAGTTTTAGAAAATATGGATATAACTAGGTATTTTTTGTAATATGCAAACCAACATTTTTCAATGGAAATTTCTTCTCCCATCCATATTTCTTTTATAACACTTCACCATGGTGCTCCTTCTCATATTATACCAAATTCCTATCTTACCAGAAATATAGGCTAGTACATCAATACTCCCATCAAAAGACAATCTAGACCTTATAATTCACCAAATATTTTAAGATGTCTTCTAAAAAGTTATAGAACAAGGTAATAATAGTGACAATCTAATTGTAAGATTATTAGAAGGTTCCCACATTATTGAATATGTCAATATTCTTTCACCAATAAATTCTTCGGAAGCATGACACTCCTTTTTTTGTACCAGAGAAGGCACTTGATGATCCAAATTGTCCATCAACATCCTCATTATATACTCCAATCACATTAAATATGCTTAACACAACTTCTACAAGAAGATCTCTAACGATAAATTGACACCTTTGTTGTGGCAATCAAGTCTATGCTAGAAATTTCTCTTCTCCTCTATTATTGATTTATTCTTTTGGTACTACTAAACTCATTCAATAATAAAAAGAGAGATATAGAATAGAATAGATTTAACCTCATATACGTAAGAAGATGACTTCCAATTGATCCATGAAGCAAGGATGACATAATATTTTCAATGCTCATTTCATACACTAGAATTCTAAGCAGCCACAACTCAACATCTCAATGATATTGACTACCAAAAATAGATGATAAATGACCAGCGATACTTTTCTATGCAAAACAATATCCAACATAGCAACCCAATTCAACTTAAAATAAAGAATACAATCAAAATGCCCTTCATAAAGATTGCATGAATGTACACCACTTCTAATTAAAGTTTTTTTTCCTTATTTTTTGCTATTTTATAACTTGCAAATTTATAAATTTCTTGGAGTTACTTTTAGACCAATTGTAGCAAATCTTGTATAAGGTCAAAATACTAGCCTAGTATCTTTATCTCAATATATATATATATATATATATATATATTTCTAAATTTTTTTATATTTTATTTAATTTTTTTTTTTCGAATTTTTTAAATTTTATATCTTTAGTATTTATCATAATAAAGTCAAAAAATAATAAAATATGATTATATAATATTTTTAATGTAATATGGTCAATTTGTAAGATAAATAAGAGAAGTTTAAATGATTATTATTAATATGTAAACAATTGTCTATTTTATTTGATTCTAATTTATTATTAGTGATTCTTTAGATATGTCTAGATATATATATATATATATATATATATATATATATGCTTAAAGTTTAGAAATTAGCTCTATCTATCTATCTACATAGGTATATATATACATCTTTTTTTCTATCTATATATGCATATTATTTTAATGGTATACATTAAAAAATAATATATAAATACATAAATTTCAAAAGCTCACAATTACTACTAATTAAAAATAAAATTTAAAAAAACCCTTCATTACAAACAAAAAAAAAAGACAATAAAAAAATAAAAAATAAAAAAGAAGGAAAGAAAGAAGATGAATGTTTATTAATTACTCAAAGAGAAAATATTATGAATTATAGAATGTAAAATTAAAGAAACTGACCAATCCTAATCCAAACGAGCCAAAAAATATGTAATCACGAATACTGCTCAGCCTAAGCACATCGTAGTTTAGAGGATGAGTCTAGTGTAGCTACTTTTGGTTACGAGAGAAAGAATCATGTGTTGGGCGAGCCCAAGCAGTATAGTGGGATGTTTAGAATATTTACTTACTGTTGACTGTTGACGAAATTTGGTGTTAGAGCTTGGGAGGGAGGGTAAGGCATGGACAGCTTAACATTGCGATTGGATGTTGCATGAAACATGAGTAAGCGGGTTTGAAGGTGGGGCGTTAACCTGGGAGCGGCATGAGCAGAATCGACTAGGAGACGGTGTTGAGAGGAAGCGATCAGGAAGGAGTGTGAAGGGCGGAAGGCAGGGAGACGGTGGTGATGGGCCCAATGCAGGATGAGTAGGCAAAAGAGATTGATCGCAGTCATCGGAGGACCAGCGCCTCCGGGACCGGTTGATACCTCGATGTGGTCAGCGGGTATCTGGTCTAGTGGTATGATTCTTGCTTAGGGTGCAAGAGGTCGGGAGTTCGATTCTCCCGATACCCCGCCCGCGGGTGCTCAGCCGTTTAGGGCACTTGGTCTAGTGGTATGATTCTCGCTTTGGGTGCGAGAGGTCGCGAGTTCGATTCTCGCAGTGCCCCCTCGCGTTTCAAATCCCAGCCCCCAGCTATCTTTTGTTTACTCCCTGCTTCCGCGCGGTCGCTTTTCTCGCTTCGCACCTCGCTTATTTCCACTCCGCACCACGTCCCGTTGCAGAATCTCACCCTGGAATGGAATGTGTACACCATCAATCAATGCCTACTCCACACACATGCACACTTCTTCACTTTGCAACCCATCCCACTTTGGAACGTGGTTGCTTGCGCCCCCCATAGCATGCCATTGTCATCCCAATCCAACACCTCTCCCCTATCTGCACTTGCAACTTCATCCCATCCATGAATACCCAAAATGCTTGCAAATCATAACATGCCACTTTTTGTTTTCTAGTTGATTTCTTGTTTCAAAGGGGATTTTTCATGTGTACTTCACAAAATCATGTAATAAGAACATAGCTATTGTTTTTTTTCTTTTTTCTTTTTTTCTCCAATTTTATAAGACAATTATAGGATTTTTTATTTGTACCTCATCTACAGTTTATTAGTATAGTTCAGCTTATAAGATTGTTTTGTCAAGTTCTTTGGTTTATAGAATTTTTTTCGGTAGGATTTATAATTCATTCTTTTGAAAGATATATTCAATAAGATGTCATTTATCAAACTTAGTAATATATTTTTCATTCATTCCAAGATCAAGCACACACAACATCATTCATTCCAACTCTTCTAATGAATTTATACATATCCACAAAACTTCATGTTGTAAGGATATATTAAGTTCTTTCATAATATTGTTTTTTCTCCTAATAGTATTGTCTAAAGTCTTGTTATTATTCTAAATAGTATAAAATCTATAAAAGTTAAAGTACAAGAGTTAGAACAACTTCAATGTTTATTATTTAAAGGTGGACCAAGAATTACTTGGTGGGATGATATAAAAAGTTGTTAGATTTTTTCAATACACCAAATTATTCAAGTAATTTTTATATGATATTGTTCCATTTAGAAAATTGAATTCAACTTTTCAAGTTTTATCATGTTGTAAGTAATAATGTATATATTTTATTATTTAATATATATATATTTCCAGAATATTTGATTGAGGTTATAGGCTTGTGCAGCTGGTGTCTTGGACTCCAAGTCTAAAGTAGGCCTAGAATATAAATAAGATGGTTGTAATATATTAGAGGTGTATTAACTTTAGATTTGATGGTACTTTAGAAATACTATTTTTTATCATTATTTTTTTACAATATATTTTAACTTATCAAATCATTTTACAATATTGTTACATATATGAAGTAGTGGGATTGTCACATTGTTAAGTATTTGTAATTTAATAAATGAATTAATACTATTATGGTGCCATATTCAAGAATAATGTTCTTAATTTTTACTCTTATCTACTAGTATTACAAGCTTAGTCTTTTAATGGATTTGGTGACAATTATTGAAACTAGAATTATGATTAATATTTTTCTTATTATTTATAAGAATTGTCCATCATTTAGAATAGATAAAATTAGAATTTAAAAGTATTGGATTTAATCCTCTTTAATGTCATCTTACATTTAAATTTATCTTAGAAGTTTGTCTAAATCATATCTTTTGAAACTTAGAACATAATGCACTTTAAGACTTAAGTACTTGATCGAATGATTCTTTGTAATCTATGCACTTCAATTAAGAGTGCACATATTGTTTTGTATTTCAGTGTAGTATTACTGTCATCCAGTTGTTGACATTTTAGGTGACACAAGTATGTAAATTATGATTATATCTCTCACACATGTGTGTGTGTGTGTGTAGATATATATATATCTATATATATTTGGATCAATTTGTATTTTGTCTATATTCACGCCCTTTGGTTTTTGTGACAAAATTAAAGGAAGCAAGAATTCATTACCGACCAAATTCTATTTGTGCAGTTTCGTGGTCAGGACTGGGCTTCGCATGGCAATCCCAGATGTGATACCGTGGTCCATACCCTCCGAAATAATACCCGGATGAGGTGGGTGTAGGATTTGATACCAGGAGTGCCCCATTCCCTTGAGCCTTATCCACTTTCTTTCCCTTCGCGTTCGATGTTCAGGAAACTTGCTGCGGCCATGCTGCAGATTGGTCTCCGGGCGCTTTCCCTCAACAGGCCCACCATTTCGATTCGAAAGCCTGCATTTACCTGTGACTCCTCGTTTTCTTATCGTAATGCTCTGCCACTACTGTGTAGTTCTGTGTTTGTGTGTGAATTCTCCGGTCACTTTTTAGTTTCGGAACGAGCACAATCAAGTACTTTTCTTATTGAGATTCGTTTGGCAGGTGAGCGCCCCATTGCAGCCTGTCATCTTGCCCCAGGCGTAGATAGAATTTAATTAGGGCAGTCATTCAACGAGGTGATGCAGTTGTGATTTTGTGGAGGGTTTAAGAGAATGGGTTTTAGTCTCGTGAAGAAAGGCGAGTTAGTTTGAGTAGAGTTGCAGCAGGGGAGTTGCAGAACGTCTACCTTGCATTGAAATGGTGATCGAAGGAATTGCTGCGGTTAGGAGCTATGCAGGAGCTCTGTTTCGTGACATAAACTGCAGCTCCGAGAACCGAATTGGAGGGAATGATACGTTGCAGCAGAGTGGGTTTCTGGGTACCATTTTGCTGCGGAAGGAAAATGTTTCGGGCCTGCAGAGGCAGGTTGGGTCAGGGTTGACGGTGCGAGCAAGCGAGGAAAAACAGGTCAATCAGGGAAAATTACAAGCCAAGCGTCCCAAGGCTCCAACGTTTATTTTGAATGTGAAGCCGGAACGGAAACCCATGGCAGAAGAACCTAAGCCTTTCCTCTCTCTTGAGGACTACGACTTTGAGAATCTTATTGTGGATCCTAATCACCGTAGTGGTAACCACTTCTCCTCTTCCTTAGTTCTGGCATCATTTTTCCGATGCTACGTTCTTTATTATCTGTCTGATACTTGTTTCTTTTAAAATAGGGTTTGGTTCTAAATGTCTGTAGCCTGAACTACGTATCATCTTTTCATTAAGGAATTGTCTCTGGGAATAAGCAGTTCAAAAGTTATACAAGTTTTGTGCAGTGACGTTGTTTGAGTTCTTTATGTGCTGATATTATTGCCTGGATTACGCAGGTTACGTTGCTCTTGTAGGAAAACCAAATGCTGGAAAAAGTACACTTCTGAACCAAATTATAGGTCAAAAATTATCCATCGTGACAAACAAACCGCAGACAACTCGGCACCGCATCCTTGGGATTTGCTCCGGCCCTGATTATCAAGTACAGATAATTTCCTCTGCAATTTTTCAATCATCAAGCCATCTGCAATTTTTTAGCATATATATATATATATATATATACATAATGGCATGCTGGATTTAGGGTTATTGTCCCAGGGTCATAGAATAAGCTGGAAAGTCAAGAACGGTGATGCCTTTAACGGATACTGCTGAGAGTTAGACAATGCTCTCTTTTGATTTTTGTGCCAATACCAACTCAATGATCACGATCACCTTATTTTGTTCTGGAATGAGAAGAGTAACCATATTGTTGCAATTGGCATCAGACCGTCCTTCAAAATGTTCGGTAATGACCAGATACAATCACGTGAATGGCGGTGGATAGTAGTGCTAATCTTTTTTTTCTGGTACTGGCGTGGGTTGTTACAGATGGTATTGTATGATACTCCAGGAGTGATTTCGAAGCAGGTTAAGAAGTTAGACGAGATGATGATGCGAAACGTTCGCACTGCCACCCTAAACGCAGATTGTGTCCTGATTGTTGTAGATGCTTGCGAGCAACCTGAGGAGGTATTGAGCCACATAACTTGTTATGCATCGCTTTCGAAATCATTAAGTACCTATAATCTGGCCCTTTGTGCAGTTCACTGCTTCCAAATATGCTTTTTTTACAGAAATGGTAACTTAGTCAATTAATTTGGAATAGAGAGGTTGACTGAACCATATATGAAGCCTATTTAAATGTTGCGAGATTTCTTTTGCAATGAATTTTATTGGCTGTAATACTGGTGTTAGAAGTCGGAAAACATTGTTTGTTCCATACTTTTGGGTAGTCCAGTGCACTCCAGTATTGTTGCAGATACATCAGCTGCAGCCCTATTTTCCACATCCCCTGATCATCAATTCCAAAGAAATTCTAGACGAAGCTACAGTTATCACTGTAAATGCTCTGGATCATAAAATGAGAACTCTATGTCAGAGAACAACACTGACCCGGTCCTAACAAAGTAGTCCCGTCCATTACAAATGGAACCGTTAATTACTTTTGTACCTAAAACATACTCTTTCGTTTAGACGTACTGAGAAGTACTGACAAGTGTTTGTTTATTGGTGATAATATTATTGTAAGTTTATTTTCTTGTAATCAAATGGCTTTATCTTTTTTTGATGTGATGACGGTTCGGCGTGGTGGCAGGTGATGAGTAGGTTGACAGATGGGCAGCAGACTCTAGTTACGGACAATAGACCTACTTTGCTCGTTTTGAACAAGAAAGATCTCATTAAGCCCGGCGAAATTGCCAAGAAGAAAGCGGTATGTACATAAATGTCATTTTTGAAATATCTATTATTACATTTGTTGGAACCAATTTGGTCGCATTCTTGTTTGAAGACCAGAGTTGTATTCGTTTATTACTTGTTTCAGTCTTAAATCTGGATGTTGGAACTAGTAGTCACTCATGTTTCTTGTCGTTATTACAATAAGGATTCTCTGTTAAGGACATAGAATTTGTTCGTTGGCTGAAACCGTATACGTATTGATAATCTTCCATGTGCAATCAAAATGTATTGAATCTGAGATCGATTATTTGGAATAGATATATGTATTCGCAAGCCGCGTGGATACTCACACGGTTTGGGTACTCCTACTTCCTACAGGGGGTAAATAAGTAATGTGCATGTTTGATTTGTGCAGTGGTACGAGCTGAATGGTGGTACAACGGAGGTGATAGCTGTCAGTGCGAAGCAAGGAGCTGGTGTAGACAAGATAAAAGAATGGCTCTTAGGTCGACTGCCCTATGGCCCTGCCTATTATCCCAAAGTATGTCATCAAAGTTCTATCTTAGAAATTCTGAATGATTGATGTGGACGCAGTAGCAATCTCTCTCTCTCTCTCTCTCTCTGAAATAATGGCATTAACTTATCATTATTATGTTATTTATCGTAAAATTATATCTGTAATAATATCTAGTGGCTACTCACAAACCCAAAGAAGGCACTCAACGCGCAATAATCTGACTGATTAAAACTTTTTTTGCAGGATGTTGTTAGCGAACATCCCGAGCGATTTTTTGTTTCTGAGATCTTGAGGGAGAAGATATTTTTGCAATACAGGCAAGAAATCCCCTACGTATGCCAGGTTAGTAATTTTTTTGTGTACAAAGCTTCAACTTATTCTGTAGGTCGAAACCTCTCGATCGCTCTTACCCAAAGCTTGCGGTACCATGAGAGCTTTGATTTGCGTCCTTGAACAGATTCTTGAATAGTTTCTCGTCAATTTCACTCGACTTGACTGGGTTGACACGTACTTTTTAAAATCCCTTTGTTGTGATGCATGGCAGGTGAATGTTACGAGCTACATGGAAAGGAGAGTTGCAAAGGACTTCATTCAGCTAGAGATTGTTGTTGAGAAAGAGGGACAGAAAGGCATTCTACTGGGCAAGGTACGGTTTTTTTAATGATGGAAGTGGAAATGCCGAGGACTGCTGTACCTCTTTCGTAGTTTATTTTCCCCTACTTGTGCCTTTTCATGAATTTTGGTGGTCTGGGCTTGGTGACTAATTCAACTGGAAGTTATTACAAAACGAAAGGGTTGTTGATGTACTGTCTCTTGTCCATATTTCCGACTGAAAATGGTAGCTTCTTAATCTTGAAAATGGCTGTAATCTTGAATCAGGGAGGAGAATCCCTGAAAATGCTTGCCACTGCTGCGAGGTTGGACATCGAGGATTTTGTAGGGAAGGAGGTATATGTGGAGGTAGGATACACTCTCGATCGCTTCATGCTCAGCTTTATATTAGGCAGAGTATTATGGCATAAACTGATGTATCTTGCTCGATGAATAGAAGTGAATATACTTACAGAAAGGTCTCTACTGAGAACAAGTCTATACATGACACGAGTGCAGTATGCTTTGTGACAGTTGTATTGGATCGTTGCCCCTGTGGTGAGCTAGATCAGAAATGTACTTTCTCTATTTATACCCTGAGAGAATAATATGCACTAATGAACCGTCTTTACATAAGACTTTGTGAAGTCCTTGAAACTAATGTGGAGCTGCTGAACTGTGTTGTCCAGATAAAAGTCAAGGTGAAGGAAGATTGGCGTGGAAACGAGGAACTGCTTGATCAATATGGATACAGCGGCAAGATTAGTTATTGAGATGATTTGCTACAATTCAACGATAACCCATATTCATTCTCACAGGGACTCAATTTCGCAAGGGTTCAGGAACTTTTGTAGTTTCACTCTACAGTTTGAGTGTAACATCAAACCAGAATATGTCGAACGATTAATAATCACACCTGCATGTACTCTCCTTTGTACGTTACAAGTTTCGATCTTTCACCAGTTATGAAACTATACTGCAGCTTATCTCTGCTACACTATTCTCGTCTTTTTCTGTTGATCAGATTTAAAAAAAGAGAAGATAAGCATTGCGTCATTTGTCATCCATACCCAACTGTTCAAGCAATTTTTTTACAATCATTCGTCTCTTGCTTGACATTTGAGTCACTTGTAGTCCTACTTTCGTTTTGTGATTAGGAGGGCTTATGACGAAGTACATGTAATTCAATACAATCCTTGAATAAGATGCCTTCGACTTTGAATCTAAGCAGTTCCTCAATAAATGCCTTCGAGTCGCTAATGAACTGACACTTCCACCCCACAAGCTCCTGCTCCACTGTGGAGGCTAATTGGACATAGTCCGGAGTGCTATGAGCTAAGTCCAGCATTCATTCCATTGAGCGAAAAAGGTATAGTTTCTTTTTCAGGTAAGTTGATTCTAGGATGAACCCAGGAGGCTGGAAGGAGTTTAGTAACCAAGCAGAAAAACGGATCATCCAGGCGATACATGATGGACGCTTGCCAAGTGATGTTCATTGAATGTTCGTTGTTTAGAACTGTCAGAAGTAGGATGAAGTGAGGTTTGTCCACTCATGCCCTTCGAGGACGGCCCTGCAACATCTGAAAGGTGAGGAATCTAGAAGCTAGCCGACTCCAAGTGCCATAAAGTAGCTTAATTGATGTCAGTTCAACTTTAAGTAACATTGTTGAAGACACAAATTAAGAGGAGTTTTTTTTAGTGATTCTTCGTGTACTTTTGCATCGAACTAAGACTTTGGATATATATAAATATATATGCTAGCAACCACGCTAACGGAATCAAAATGGATTGCCCTAATCGACATCCAATGTAATGGGTAACAATATATTTTCAGATCTCTCTGTATAAAGCCTCAGATTGCATGCTCAAGTGGGAATAAATTTTTCAGATGAGGTTGAATACTACTTTGTAGTTCATGACTACCTGGAAATCTCACTTAGGATCGTGCAATAGGAATGAGGAATTAATATATCTATCGCCAAAAAATGTAAATTCAGAAGTTCTTGTCCTTTTAATAAATGGTTTTTTTGGTATATATTTATGGGTTGAATACAAAGTTGTGGATTAGGGCTTAGTGGGAGGCCTTTGATTGTACATTCTTATTTTAGAAACCAAATCTTTTTTAGTTGCAATATATAAATTAGGATTCTTTGTCTTTTTTATTTTTTATTTTTTATATTTTTAGAGCATTGATTATGTCGCAACAGTTATTATTGTTAGATTGATGCTATAAGTACATCCTAACTTGCTACAAGCACACCTAATATTGCTATGTTCACACCCAAAACACGTGGAGGGTTGTGATTGGTGGGATATTATAATGTAGACCTTGCCACCTAATATAAGTACAAAAGAAGGAGAAGAAGTGAAGGGAGTGCAATCTTCCTTTTGGTGGTCTTGCTAACTAGTGTTGTGATGCAAAACAACTAGTAGGTGAAAGAGTGAAGAAAATATTAAAATTTATAAGATCTTATTTTAAAATTTGATAGCAATTTATTTTAGAAATATAGATAATAGTCAAAGGGTATTAAATTAAAAGTATAAATATTATCTTTTTACAAAGTGAGCTTCTACTTATATTGTAGAACCATAAATAAGGCAAAACTAGATAGATTAGAAAAATAAAGGATATAAGTTTATGTAAAGGAGAATTAAGAGTTGATTTTAGCAAAAATTACTTCAAGAAGACAAAAATTGATATCCTGAAAGGACTGGCTATCAATCTAGGTTGGAATCAGACTCTAAGGTATAAAACTACATATCTAAAAGAATTCTATAGTTTTTTTGTAAATTAGAGAGTTGAATTTGGGAGAAGACTTCATAGGATTTCTTAGAGCATTGATTTCAAGTAATTTGAGTTTGTAATAACTTTCTAAGAGCTTTGCAAAGTTAGAGTTGTTTTGTGTGACTCTGGATTTTGTGAAATAAAATAGGATTTATAATTTAGATAATTTTGTGAATTTTGTAGGAGATCAATGACTGAAAGTTTTTAGGGTTGTGAGTATAGTTGTATTAAATGTACGTTGTTAGTTTGAGCTTAATTAAATAATTGGATTGAAGATTATTGAAGTTCAAGTGGGTTAGAGTCTCAAAAATTGGATTTTTAGGTCTAAAAAGATTTTCTAAGTTTTACAACAATTTGCCATTTAGATTGAGGTGATTTTTATTAGAACTAATAGTTGACTTGACTTTCAACATCTATGCAAAATTTGAGAGCAAGTTAATAATTCAATTAGAAGTTATTGCTCATGGAAGATCAACATTAAAATCAAAGATGGAGGCTGGCCAAGTCTTGAAAGGATTATGATGTTTTTCTTCCATTTGGTAAGTTCAATTCTCATAAATTTGTTATGATTGTTATTAACTAAAAGATTGAGAGGTATGCAAAATTTTAAGTAAGATCAAAAATTTAATCAATAGATATTGAGGTTCTAAAATCACTTTAAGGTTGGTTTGAATTGGTTACGTTTCCATTAGGGCTTGTTTAGTAGTTGATTAGGATTTGATTAGGTTTTGATTTAAGATTTTAGATTTGATTGAAATTGATTAAGGATTTAGGATCTAATTAGGATTTTTTTAAGGTTTAAGATTTCTTTAAAGTTCTTGTAGATTTCTTTTGGATTTCTTTAGAATTTTTAAGGATTTCTTTAGGATTTTTTAAAGATTTGATTAGGATTTTTTTAATATTCTTGAGAAATTTTTTAGCGGTTTTTTTAGGGGTTTTTCTTCAAAGATTTATTTAGATTTATTTAGGATTTATTATTATTTTTTTTATAAGTTCTTTAAGATTTTTTGTATTCATATATATATATATATATAATTTATTTAATTATTTATTTGAACTTGATCAATATTGGATTATATTTCTTAATCTTTAATTGCAATTTATATATGATTCTATGTTAGGGACATAGTCCTTAGAACCTTTTAGAGACAAGTTTCTAGAACCTTATAGAGACAAGCTTCTAGAACCTTCTAGAAGCAAGTCTCTGAAACCTTCTAGAAGCTTCTTAGTTAGTAGAAGATGTTAGGGACATAGTCCTTAGAACCTTCTAGAGATAAGTTTCTAGAACCTTTTAGAAGCAAGTCTTTGGAACCTTCTAGAAGCTTCCTAGTTAGTAGAAGTTGCTTGAGAAGCTTCCTAAATAGGAGTATATATTGAAATCGAGGCTGAAGAGTTCTTCAGTCTTGACAACACATCTCTTGGAGCTCTAGCTCACATCTCTGGTGTTGTTCTTGTATTCATCTGATTATTCTAGTTCTTGCCAGTTCTTCTTGAACTTCTTGGTAGATATCAAGTCTGTATTCTATGTCCGTGACAGTTTGTCGAGACTTCACTCACCTCAAATATAAGAGCTAGTTTCTTCTTTGTTAGAGTGTGGATTATCCCTCTGCTTGGAAGTGTACTAGCACTTTAGAGGTTGCGAATTACCCTCCTCTAAACTGATACTTCTTTTGTTATAATATTGGAGTCTTATTCTTCTTGGAGAGAGTAGATTACCCCTTTTCTTGAAGCTCTTAAGGCATTTTAGAGGTTGCGAAGTATCCTCCTCTAAACCAATATTGTCTTCTTGTAGAGTCATTTCTGTCCTTCTCTTAGAATGGCCGGAGGCCAAGACATTAGTATGACGAAAAGTTCAGAGTCCAAGTTAGATGCTATCATGAATGCCCTCGCTACGTTATCGCAAAGAACTGCAGAGATTGAAGGAGTCGTGGCAAGGCTTCATAATGATGGAGCATCTGGGATGGCACAATCTAGGTTGCACCAGCCTCAAACTTCTACACTTGAAGAAGCAACTTTGCCTCAGGTTCGACAAGCACCACTGGTTCTACAACATAAGGAATCCCGAGTTAGCCTTCCGGACAAGTTCGATGGTACACGTTCCAAGTTTCGAGGATTCATCAACCAAATCAGGTTGATAATAGTTTTACAGCCTGAACACTATTCAACGGAGGAGTCACGTGTTGAGCTTGTTGGAACCTTACTTACAGGACAAGCTCTATCATGGTTTGTTCCTTTGTTTGAGAAACGATCGTCCATACTAAACAACTTTGAAACCTTTTTGGAGGCATTTGCGGAAGCATTTGGTAAACACGACAAGGTTCGATGGGCTACAATAAAGATCCGGTCACTAAGACAAGGAATGCGTTCTATATCAATCTATGCATCGGACTTCAGGCAATTAGCATGCGACATCAATTGGGACAAAGAAGCGTTGATGAGTCAATTCTATTGGGGTTTAAGGGACGATGTGAAGGATTTGCTGTTAACTCTTCCTGATCCGCAAACGCTCAACGAAGCTATTAGCCAAGTTGTGAAGTGCGATAACTGCCTATTCCAACGTCACCAAGACCAAAGTTCAAGACAACATACGGTTCACCACACCCCAACTATGTCGACAAGCAGCGTGAATTCACATTCAGAGGTAGAAGACATGCAAATTGATGCGGTACGTATCAAATCTCTTACTCTAGAAGAAAAAAAGCGGCGTATGGAGGAAGGTCTATGCTTGTATTACGGTGAAGAAGGCCACAAAGTTGGAAATTGCCCCAAGAAGCAAAATTGATGCACTGTCAGGACCAGAGGTGTGTTTATTCAAGAAAATGAGGATGCCCAGCCACAATAGGAACCGTGCAGCTAGACAATGAAATATCGCAACAACAACCAGGTTCCTTTCTTTCCGCTCAACCTGCCCTTTGTTTTACAATCCTTTGCTTATAGGCCCTCAAAAATTGAGAACCTTAGCATTATTAGATTCAAGAACATCTGCTTGTTTTTTAGACGAAGAATTTGCAAAGCGTCATAAGATACCTTTAGTACAAAAATCCAAACCTATTCACGTTGAGGTCATAGATGGACGACCTTTATTGTCTGGTAGTGTCATCTATGAATCAGAACCTATAGAAGTGACGTTTAAGGGCCATAGTAGTCAAATTATTTTCAATATTATTAGAACTCCATCAAATCCTGTTAATCTAGGTCTTTCCTGGTTGGAAAAGCGTAACCC